TTTTTTACATTTTTTTGTAAAAATTGTAAAATATTAGCTCTTAAAGAACTTGAGATATTTATTTAAAAATGTGATATTAACATATAGACACAAATACAGAACATTTTTTTAAAACGTGCTTTTTGATTCTCCGAGTTCGGGAAACGTAGCGAAATATGTGAAAAAATCGAGTTTGAAAATTTTCGGTGAAACAATGCTTCCACACGAGGAAGCAATAAATATAATAAATAAATATTTACAGTCTAATAAATATAGCGAATAGAAAATCTTGTAAATTAAAATAAATTTTTACCTTCTAAAATGTGTTTCATGAATAAAAATAAAATTAAAAATATAAAAAGAAATTTAGCATCGTAAAGCAACCGAAAATCGAAATGGAGGGCAAAACATGGTATAGATAGTGATTATGTAAACAGAATAGTTTATAATATGCATTATCTACACAAGTGACCTGTGCACTCGAACCTATCTAAACTGTTCGGAATAAACGACTAAGAGGGCAGTGGGGAGTGGTGAGAAACCCTTTGCCACATTGGAAAAGCAAAATCGATGTTTCCGCTATCGGCAAAGTTCCACATCTGAAACGCTATACATAGCTGCACACTGCGCACTATGAAGTTCAAATTCAAACACACTGCAATAATGTAGAGTTGCGTGTTGAAAATAGTGTTTCTCTGTCTCTCGCTGAGCAATTGCGCAATCAGAACTGTTGCATTCACCAATTTCTGGACTCACCCTCAAGCCTTTTAGTTTACATTGCTAACAAGTCGATTTATATATCCATTGTTAAACTTAGATATTAATCTACAAGTCCAACATTCATTTGGATTATTTAGTTGTAATTCTGCATAATGAGAAGACCTAATGCTTTTGATTGCTTTCATATTATATATATATATTTTCAGTAATTTCAACTAATTTCGAACATATTGTTGGAAATTGATAAGTGATATGTATAATAACTGGGGATTATTAATAATAGGCTTTTGGAGCTAATTCCGGAGAGAATTTTCATTTCACTGAATTTTATATGACGGGAACTTTTTTTCAGTTGGTTTTCATTTTATCAATGTCATTAATTTTACTTTATTAAAAAAAAATAATATTGGTTTTTAGTTTTTTTTAGTCAAATTAGATCTAAAATTAGACGTAACGTAATGGTTCCTGTAGGTTGTGAGATAAAATGACCATTAAGTTAATTATAATTAATTTATAGTGCTGTTAATAATAATAACAGAGTTGCCACAGGTCAGGGAAATCAGGGAATTCAGGGAAAAGTCAGGGAATATAAAATTAGTGAGGGAAATCAGGGAAAAATCAGGGACTTTCATTAAAAGTACTGGAAAAAATTAAATGTTTAGAATTTATAAGAAAATTCTGAATTTTTGTGTCTTTTTGTTTCCCTCATTAACTATGAAATTACCACAAATCCTAAAAAACACCTTATAAATCATTTAATGAACTATATTTTTGAAAAATTTTAATTCAATTCTTTAAAAGAATTCAACTATCTTAACCTTCGCGCTACCAAAGATTTTTGTATACGCGGGCTACCGGATGGCCACCCGGGGTGGCCAAACGCTTTTTTACTTTTATATTCCAAAAACGATTAAAATTCATCAAACTTTTTGTAAATAACTACGTGTTAATACAGTTGCTGTATTTTAATAAAGGTTTTATGCATATTGCAATTGTTTAAAAAATTTGTTATTGCAAAAACATATAATTTTCAAATAAACAAAGAGATTAGAAAATTTTTGAAAACTTTTCTTTTTTTAACGTTACTTAGTATTAAATCAATAAATTAAAGAAAATATTTATTAAAACGAATCATAAATATTAGTAAAAAATTATTTAAACAAATTATTGTTGTTATTTACCAACTTTTTACAGAATACACCTAGAAAGTTGCAGTTTTTTCCTAATTTTGCAATTTACTAAACTTTATATTATTACATATTACAATTTATAAACGAATTATTAATTTGTTTAAAAATAGTTTAAATAACAATTCAATTTTTATTTTTTTATTTATAATCATATGAGGTTTAGTAAATTGCAAAATTAGGAAAAAACTGCAACTTTCTAGGTGTATTCTGTAAAAAGTTGGTAAATAGCAACAATAATTTGTTTAAAAATTGTTTAAATAATAATTCAATTTTTACTCTTTATTTGTGATCATATAAGATTAATAAATTGCAAAATTAGAAAAAAACTGCAACTTTCTAAGTGCATTCTGTAAAAAGTTGGTAAATAACAACAATAATTTGTTTAAACAAATAGAAAATTCATTGTAACATCAAAATATGTTGTATTTATTGACATAAAACAATTTTATTCTGAAACTTTCATGATTTCATTTTTATTTTTTTGCAATATACAAAATAACATCCGAACGTTTTTCAGTAGTGTTGAACATAGTTTTTTAATTGTTATAAATAAACAAGAAGAAATGTAAAAAAATTTTATTTTTTTTATTTTTCGAAAGTAGATAAAATTTTGTTCAGTGACTTAAAATCGCGATTCGATTGATGCAAAAATCGAGCAGATTTACAACATTATTTATTGCTTGGCCACCCTGGGTGGCCATCCGGTAGCGCGAAGGTTAATAAATATTAAAATTCTTTCCAGAAATTTAATTATTTTTAAAAATAACAATATTCATCATAAGAATTTAGTTATTTTCAGAAAATTTAAAAAAAATTGTCGTCAACATTTCAATTATTTTTAAAAATGAATAGCTAAATTCTTTGACAAAATTTAATTATTTTTAAGAAATTTAAAAAAAATTCATTGCAAAATTCAATTATTTTCATAAATAATAGTATTCATCACAAGAATTCAATTATTTTCAATATTAATTGCCAAATTCAATGATTTTCGTAAATTTTAATAAAATTCAATTATTTTCAGGAATTTAAAAAAAATTATCGAAAAATTCAATTATTTTCATAAATAATAGTATAATTCATGACAAGAATTCAATTATTTTCAAGAGTAGTAAAATGTAATTACTTTCAAAAGTAATAAAATTCAATTATTTTTAAAAATTTTAATAAAATTCAATGCAAAATTCAATTATTTTCAAAAAATTTTCTTAATTCATTGACTTTTAGTATTCTACAATTTAAATAAAATTTCCTAAAAGAATTCAACTATTAAACAAAAATTTTGATAATATTCTACACGAACATTGAATTATTTTACAAATAAAAATTTTACAGAAACTTCAGTTCCTGTGAAATTCAATGTTTTTCCTGTGAATTGAATTCTGTAAAATAGAATTTGCAAAATTTTTTTCGAAAAAATTAAAATGATTTTAATTTTTGCATAAAATTCTTCGCAGTAATTCATTTATTTTTATAAATTTTTTTAATTCTTTTTGCGGATTTAATTTATTATTTTCGTAAATAATAAAATCATTCGCAGGAATTCAATTATTTTCATAAATAACAATATTCATTTCAAGAATTCAATTATTTTCAAAAATTAATAAAATTCAATTATTTTTAAAGAATTTAATAAAATTTATTGCAAAATTCAATTATTTTCAAAAATTTAAATAAATTTCATTGCGAAATTTCAATTATTTTCAAAAATTTTTCTTTATTCAATGTTTTTCTATATTTGACTATTTTAATAATAAAGTTTTCAAAAAAAAAATATATTTTTTTAAATACATTTTTGCCAAAGTTCTACACGAATATTCAATTATTTTCTAAAATAATGAAAATTTCACAGGAATTCAGTTATTAAAAATAGAATTTGAATTTGCATAAATTTAAAAAAAAAAATCAATTGTCTGGAACTTTTTTTATAAAATTCTTCGCAATAATTCAATTATTGATGATAATAATAAAACTCTTCGTAGAATTTCAAATATTTTCATAAAATTTCCTGAATTCAATAATTTTTAATATCTACCATTTTAATAAAATTTTCCGAAAGAATTAAATTATTTGAAAAACATTTAATATTTTCGTAAATATTAAAAATTTGAAGTCAATTCAATTGTTTTCATAAATAATAAAATGTTTTACAGATTTTTGATTATTTTCATAGGTAATAAAATTTTCTCGCAATAATTCCATTATTATCATAAATAATGAAACTCATAGCAGGATTTCAATTATTTTTAATATAATTTTAATCAAATTTCTCGAAATTGTAATTATCCTTAAAATTTTTTTTAAAATTCATCGAAAGAATTCCATTATTTAAAAATTTGTTGATAAAATTCTTTATGAGATTTCAATTTTGAGAAAAATTCAATTTTTCAATACATGATTTATTTTTATACTTAAATAATTGAAATTTCGTAAAAATTTTTATCAAAAATTAATTTAGAAATTAATTTTCATTAAAATTGTACATAATAATTGAATATTAAAAGTATTATAAAGGGAACTTTTTAAAAATAATTGAATTTTGAAAAGCTTAAAAATTAGAATCTTTTAAAAAAATGTGAAAGAAAAAATTTTTTATAGAAATTCAATTATTTACAAATTGTTTGTTATCGATATCTTCATGTTATTTCAGTTAAAGTTTTAAATAATATATTGGATTTTTGAGAATTTACTAATAATTGCAATTTTTGAATTTTTAGAAATAATCGAATTTTGTAAAAGTTAAATTAAATCTTCTGAAAATCTGAATTTTTCATACTTTTAATTATAAAAATTGTACATGGAATTAATTTTTTTCAAAAAACTAAATCGTAATTTTTCAAAGTTATTTCAAGTTTTTATTTTCTAATGTATATTTAATTAAAGAATTTCCGCTCAATCGAAATTTTGTAAAATTGAATTGTAAACAAATGAATTTGTGCTGTTAATAATAACTTATTTATATAGTGTTATTAATAATAATGAATTTGTAGTGCTGTTAATAATAATTAATTTCTAGTGTTATTAGGAATAATAATAATTAATTTCCAGCGCTGTTAATAATAATTAATTTATAATGTTAATATAATAACAGCGTAATTATTTATGTTTCAGGTGGTTCTAGTTTAGCCAGCGTCGTTGCAGGGAGTAATAAGCCCACAAGAGCGTGGGATAAACCTTATTTTGACGACGTCTCGCCGCGAAATGTGACGGCAATCGTTGGTCAAATGGCAGAATTAAACTGTCACGTTAAACATCCTGGCGACCGAACGGTGAGTTTTGTTTACCTTTACACACTTTAATTTCACGCAAATATTTCATAAAATCTTTTTCGATTTTTGAAAAAATGATTTTTAAAAATTATTCATCAACTATACACCTACAATCCCTGGTTTCAAATATTACTTTTTAAATTACTTTCTCCAACAAATTTTCAACTATTTTTTTCTCCAATATTTTTTTCCCCCGTTGAAATATGACAATCACGTTTTATATGAAAAATATTTTCAATATTTTTTTTGTTCGTGCAATATTCATTTTCTTTTTTTTTTTTTTTTGCTCCCCTCGTAGAAAAATAACACACGTTTGTAATAAACTTTAAAATAGTTGCTCATTGTCTACATTCATGAAGTTCATGGAGTCATGTTTGAGAACAATGTGCATCGTTGACAATGCTATAAAGTTTTCCCTTTTTAGTCTTAGTCCACCGTGGATAGAGAGAGAGAGAGAGAGAGAAAGAAAAAAAGGTAGTTTGCAGAATGTTTTGTATAAACTGCGGTGAAAAGTTGACTAGATTTATTGTTCCCGAGGAGTTGATTAAATACTCGTGTAGTTTTTCAAGCCTCATCGCATGTGGAATTTAATTAACAATGAAACAATCTCTCGCGTGTTAATTGAATCACGCTGACAGGGGGCAGTGTTGTTATATTTTCTGCCTGAACCATAACAACTTTAAACGCATTGAGATTTGCATTTAATCTGATCGGTCGTCGCTGTATCTCTCTTTAGTTATTATGCAAATGGCTTTTAATATAAAAAAAAGAGGCGAAGGGAGAAAGAATCACCCAGAGAATTTTAAACGAATTTCAACATTATTATTTATTTCAAAGTTGTGGTTTGAATACTGCACGTAGTGTTGTCTATTTTCATTATATGTTTCAAAAAGGATCAAGGGAAATTACTATTTTTTGAATTTTTAATTTTTCTTTCAAATTTTTATTTTTTTGTTGTTGAAAATTGAAGTTACGTGATATTATCGACGCAGTAGTGAAAAACAATTTTAGTCACACGGAGAGAAATATCTGGGCTTTTTAGCATGAAGTTCTTCATACTACGATTGCAAGAAACCTATGCGATTTCGGTAAAAGTTTTCTGCAATGTGATTGGTCGGCCCAGGCTCTGGGCGTGGCCTAATAGCCAGTTGCAAGGGTCTAATACCGAAAAAGCATAGGATTCTTGCAATCGCAGTATACTTTCTTGCAGTCATAGTATACTAACATTTCATACTTTTAAAATACAAAGCATTCATGCTATAAACGATTGATTTTTCTCTCCGTGCAGACTCAACGATTTAAAATACTAGTAGTAAAGGTGTTTTAGTAGTAAAAGTCAGTTTTAGTCAGACAAAGGAGTGATTTTGTAATTTGACTTTGATAATCAATTTGATTTTTACTTTGACATTTTAATATTAACCTTGAATACATATCGATAACTCCAAGTCTTCGACTCGGAGTGATCGATTTCTTCATGTTTCATAATAATTAAAATTAAATAATTAAATAAAATAATTTTTATTTTATTTTATAATTTCTAAAAAAAAATCACGTTATAATACTTTTAATATTAAATTATTATTTAATATTTTAACCAAAATTAATTTTAAAATAAATTTTTATAAGAAGATTCTACTAGAATTCAATTATTTCAATACAAAAATAAATAATTTATTCAATAATGAAATGCTTCTTAAAATTCAATTCTCATTAAAAACTTTATCAAATTTTTTTTAAATAATTGAATTTGTTTGACGAATTTCAATAAAATTTTTAAGAATAATTACATTTTTCGATGAATTTTATTAAAATTTTATTAAAAATGATTGGAATTTTGCGCTGAGTTTTATTATTTTTGAAAATAATTGAATCCCTGTAAAAAATTTTATTACTTATGAAAATAATTGAATTATTGCGAAGAAATTTATAAAACAATTTGTAAATAATTGAATTCCTGTTAAATTTTTTTATTCACGCCTTTTTCAAAGATTTTAATTTGAAAGCTTTTTAAAATTCAATTATTTATAAAAACTTTCCACTATAATGCCTTTAATATTCAATTATTTATTATTTAAAATTTTAACAGAAATTCATTTTTACATCAATTTTTAATAAAAAAAATTCTACGATAATTCAATGATTTAAATACAAAAATAAATCATTCATTGAAAAATTGAATTCTCATTAAGAATTTTATCAACAAATTTTTAAATAATTGAATTCTTTCGACAAATTTCTGAAAAGAATTTTATTACTTAGGAAAATAATTAAATGTTTGTTTGGAGTTTGTCCAAATTTTTTTTAAAATAATTGAAATTTTGTCAAGAATTTTATTAAAATTTTTAAAAATAATTGATTTAAAAAGAAGAATTTTATTATTTGTAAAAATAATTGAAATTTAGACTTGAATTTTTTTTAAAAATTTGGAACATAATTGAATTTCTGCTAAGAATTTTATTATTTTTGAAAAGAATTGAATTTCGGCAATCATTTGTAACTTCTCCAAAAATCAATTTTTTTAAGTATATTTAACTAAAATTTCTTTCGAAATCCTTTGTTTCTAATAATCAATTTGAATATAATGTATTAAAGAATTTAACTAATTTCAGAAAAATTTGAATTATTATAATTTTTTAAAAATCTAAGTTGTTTATAATTTCTAATTTAAATTCATTGAGAATTGAAATGTTTAAAAATTTAAAATTGAAACCATTTGTTTTATATAATTATGCTAAATTTCACATAAGTTTTTTTTTAAATTTAGTATTTTTTATATCAAAATTCGGGTAAAATTGTATTAAAAATAATTGAATCTCTGTGAAAATTATTATTTATGAAAATAATTGAATTATTACTAAGAAATTTATAAAAGAAAATTGTAAATAGTTGAATTATTGTTGCGTGAAATTTTTATTATTTATAAAAATTATTTCATATATGCTTAGAATTTTATTATTTTTAAAAATAATTAAAATTTTGTCGAGAATTTTTTTTTGCGAAAATAATTGAATTTATTTAAACATTTTGAAATATTTAAATAAAATTATTCATTAAATAATTTGTAAGTAATATTTTTATAATAGTTCTTGAAGAATTAAGTTATTTGAAAGTAAATTATTGTCAAAAATATAATAATTGAAGGTTTTATACTAGAATTGGTATGATAGTTTCATAGTTTATGAGTTAAACAAAAAGGATACAAAAATTCAGAATTTTCTTATGAGTTATAAAAGTTTAATTTTGTTCACTACTTTTAATAAAAATTCCTAAATTTTTTTCTGAATTCCCTGACATTCCTGAACTGTGACCACATTGAAAGACCTTGACTCTGACTAATCACTTCGCTTGTTCAGAAAAGTTAATTGCAAAAATAGTCTTCTCAAAGGAAAAACAAAAGTTTGTCCTAAATATAATTAATTACCACAAATAACCATAAAGGAATGATGATTTAATCTTAGAATTGAAATTCTAAACTGTTAAATAGAGGTTAATCTGAGCTTAAAGCTATACCGCACATATAACCTTCTAGGCAAACAGGCTTCACCCATATACTGAGCAGCTAAGTAGGGACTAATTTAAGTGGTCTAGAGAGCGTCAGGTCAGACACACCATATTCAGTCTTATCCAATGCTTATACTACTACTGCTACTTGTATATAGTGCAACGGGTAGACATGAGGCATTATCCTTCCTTCATGCATAAACTTTCCAGTATATTCATTTATTCAGGCATTTAAATTTTTAAACTAAACCCCCTTCTAAACTTATTTTCTCAATTTTACTTCAAATTCATTTCACTTTCGTTTGGAAAATTATTCTCATAAATTCTCCTCGCATTTTACATTTATTTGCGAAAATCAATTATTTTTTCGTCCTTATTTATTTGGGTAAAATATAATCAATCAGGTGTCAGGAAAATAATTGCGTTTTTTCTAATCACAGTAAATCGTGAGGTATTAAAAAGTGTTGCAGATTAAATTAACACCAAAAAAGATTAAAATAATCAATTTTGGTGATATTTTTTACAATGAATAAAATTTTAGTTCATTAAACTTTTTTATAACTATAAAACATGAAGATATCGATAACTCCGAGTAACTCCGAGTTTATAATAATTAAAGATGACCAAGTAATAAAATCATTATTTTATATTATAAGAATATTATACTTCTTCAAAATTATTTTCCTTATTTCAATTCAATTATTATTTTCAAAAATTGAAAACTACAATTTTACTTTATATCAATTATTTTTAATAATTTTCGAAAAAGTTCTTTGGCAATTTTCAAATTTGTTTACAATATTCAATTTCACGAAATTTCAGTTATTCCTAAATTCTTTAATTAAATGCATATTAGAAAATAAAAACTTCAAATAATATAAAAGAAAATTCAATTATACTTTTTCAAAAAAATTAATTTTAAAATTCAATTATTTCTAAAAATTCACGCTATATTGCTTTTCATATTCAATTATAATCTAAAATTTTAACTGAAATTCATTTTTATGAAATGAAAATCAATTTTTATTAGAAAATTCTGCAAAAATTTAATTATTTTAATGTAAAAGTAAATAATTTATTGAATAATTGAATGTTTCTCAAAATTCAATTCTCATGAAGAATTTTATTAACAAATTTTTAAATAATTTAATTCTTTTGTCGAATTTTGTTAAAACTTGCATAAACATAATTACTTTTTTCAAGGAATTTAATTATAATTATATGAAAAATAATTGAAACGCTGCGATGAGTTTTATTATTAGTAAAAATAATAGAATCCTTGAGAAGAATTTTATTACTCTTGAAAATAATTGAATTTCTGCAATAATTTGTAACTTCTCTAAAATTAAATTTTTTAACTAAAATTCTTCAATAAATCCATTATTTTTAATAATTTTTAAAAAAGTTTTTTGAGAATTTTCAAATTCATTTGTTTACAATTCAATTTTACAAAATTTCAATTATTCGGAAATTCTCCAATTAAATATATATATTGAAAA